TTGGGGGTTGGTGTCGGCATATTTCCGGTTGGTATCACTGTTCAAAAGCAAAAGCAAATGTAGATTTCAATCCATTTCCACCACAGTTTGTTACATGATTAAACGCCAAACAGAACGTGTTTGTTGCCAGCGCAGGCTTGCACACGGGATGGAAAATGTGTAAATCTCAGCGAATTGATAATTACCAGTTTCAACATCAGAAGTATTAAAACATGTAAATACTTACGCATAGTAGTCGTCCGTGTGTTGTCAGTTTCCCTCCTTTCGTTCCATACTTGAATTTGAGAAATTTGAAGGTGGGTAGACGTTACATTCTCAACCTTTCCTATCACCAGTGTTTGTAGAGTGTTAGCACTGGTATTTGTCTGTGTTGAATTGACAGATTCAGTCAAGACCACTCCATCAACGACAAGCTGGATTCCTTTCTGCATACTCCAAACAATTTGGTACACATGTGATTGGTTGGTGGTGATATTGTAATTGGTCGAAACCGACCACATGCTCTTTCCCACGTGTATTGTGGCATGAAGCTGTATTCCTTGGTAATAAAGGACAAGTGGCGACGTAACAAGACTATTGCCGGCATCAAGCAAATATATCGTGGCAGTGTTCTTCATTTCTAGAAACATTACTTCAACTTGTGCTGTGATCCCATTGTGGCAGGTATTCATGTCTGAGAGACAACCAATCGTTTCCGTATTCATTTCAATCCACTGCTTGGGTCCTGTAATGCTGATGACCTTTTCCTTATCCCGTTGCCCCTCCACCAAAGTGGCATTTCCGTGAAGTGTGAGGTTAGAATCCGTCGTAACAAGAATATCCCCAATCATGCTGGTAAATATGAATTGGTGATGAATGGGAGGGCTCGTAGCTTCTGTAGTCTTTACTGACGTGGCTTCGGGGGTTGGTGTCGGCATATTTCCGGTTGGTATCACTGTTCAAAAGCAAAAGCAAATGTAGATTTCAATCCATTTCCACCACAGTTTGTTACATGATTAAACGCTAAACAGAACGTGTTTGTTGCCAGCGCAGGCTTGCACACGGGATGGAAAATGTGTAAATCTCAGCGAATTGATAATTACCAGTTTCAACATCAGAAGTATTAAAACATGTAAATACTTACGCATAGTAGTCGTCCGTGTGTTGTCAGTTTCCCTCCTTTCGTTCCATACTTGAATTTGAGAAATTTGAAGGTGGGTAGACGTTACATTCTCAACCTTTCCTATCACCAGTGTTTGTAGAGTGTTAGCACTGGTATTTGTCTGTGTTGAATTGACAGATTCAGTCAAGACCACTCCATCAACGACAAGCTGGATTCCTTTCTGCATACTCCAAACAATTTGGTACACATGTGATTGGTTGGTGGTGATATTGTAATTGGTCGAAACCGACCACATGCTCTTTCCTACGTGTATTGTGGCATGAAGCTGTATTCCTTGGTAATAAAGGACAAGTGGCGACGTAACAAGACTATTGCCGGCATCAAGCAAATATATCGTGGCAGTGTTCTTCATTTCTAGAAACATTACTTCAACTTGTGCTGTGATCCCATTGTGGCAGGTATTCATGTCTGAGAGACAACAAATCGTTTCCGTATTCATTTCAATCCACTGCTTGGGTCCTGTAATGCTGATGACCTTTTCCTTATCCCGTTGCCCCTCCACCAAAGTGGCATTTCCGTGAAGTGTGAGGTTAGAATCCGTCGTAACAAGAATATCCCCAATCATGCTGGTAAATATGAATTGGTGATGAATGGGAGGGCTCGTAGCTTCTGTAGTCTTTACTGACGTGGCTTCGGGGGTTGGTGTCGGCATATTTCCGGTTGGTATCACTGTTCAAAAGCAAAAGCAAATGTAGATTTCAATCCATTTCCACCACAGTTTGTTACATGATTAAACGCTAAACAGAACGTGTTTGTTGCCAGCGCAGGCTTGCACACGGGATGGAAAATGTGTAAATCTCAGCGAATTGATAATTACCAGTTTCAACATCAGAAGTATTAAAACATGTAAATACTTACGCATAGTAGTCGTCCGTGTGTTGTCAGTTTCCCTCCTTTCGTTCCATACTTGAATTTGAGAAATTTGAAGGTGGGTAGACGTTACATTCTCAACCTTTCCTATCACCAGTGTTTGTAGAGTGTTAGCACTGGTATTTGTCTGTGTTGAATTGACAGATTCAGTCAAGACCACTCCATCAACGACAAGCTGGATTCCTTTCTGCATACTCCAAACAATTTGGTACACATGTGATTGGTTGGTGGTGATATTGTAACTGGTCGAAACCGACCACATGCTCTTTCCTACGTGTATTGTGGCATGAAGCTGTATTCCTTGGTAATAAAGGACAAGTGGCAACGTAACAAGACTATTGCCGGCTTCAAGCAAATATATCGTGGCAGTGTTCTTCATTTCTAGAAACATTACTTCAACTTGTGCTGTGATCCCATTGTGGCAGGTATTCATATCTGAGAGACAACCAATCGTTTCCGTATTCATTTCAATCCACTGCTTGGGTCCTGTAATGCTGATGACCTTTTCCTTATCTCGTTGCCCCTCCACCAAAGTGGCATTTCCGTGAAGTGTGAGGTTAGAGTCCGTCGTAACAAGAATATCCCCAATCATGCTGGTAAATATGAATTGGTGATGAATGGGAGGGCTCGTAGCTTCTGTAGTCAGAAGAATTGTCCAAGAATGTAGCGTTTCTTAGCGGTAAAATTCCTTATGGTCTTAATGTATGTGGCAGTTACATATTTTGATTGTTTCTTGTATTTTACCTTTTAAGTATAATTCATGTACATAATTATATGCAGTTGTAGTCATTTTGTTTTATTGCTCAACCTTCTTTCAACACTAAACTATCAGGCACAGCACTCTTACTAAGCATGGTTACTGCATGGTCACACCCTGTGAACTAATACAATGGCTACAGCCCTATCCCTACTCAACCCTTTTGTCTATATGGCCAGCTTGGGTACTCAGTCATGCTGTATGCTGGACACCTCAGGACTGTGGTCACTCCACATATACCTCTCCAAGGATAAAGATATATGTATTCACGTATTTTTCACAAGGATCGTTTTGGGGAACCTTAGATCAAATACCAAGAGGAGTTTTGCACAACTGTGCAGAAACTTGCGCGGCGTCGTCCCCAGGTGTGATTTCAACCCAGGACCACACACCTGGTTGGTTTACATGTCGTTTACATTTCGTTATCTAGTGTATGCATTTGATCATATATCAAGACAGAATACTTTTCTAATTTACATGTACATAAATATATTCTACCCAGTGCATTTACAACAATACTATGTACTGTATCTCATCATACTAGTATGCATATATCTGTGTTCATGATATGTGTATATTGTATACCTGATTGTTTCAGGGTGGTGTTCTTTTAAATCACATTCATAATTTCTGCAAATAAATATTGGCCATTGACGAACACCGTAGTGCCTGTGGGCGTCTGACCCAGTTGGTTAAGTCATTGCTTTGTTTCAATACTATCGACAGTTCGTCATTGTGCAAACACATGTGTATAAATGAATAAGACTGTATCATCAGAGCACTGGAATTGAACATTCTGGATCCCATTCACACAAAACCTTGGCCAAACGATCGCATCCAAAAGTGAGCGAGATATGACATGGTTTATTCTCCCTGAAGTGTTTTATTGTATAATAAACCACACCCACTCGTCGTTTATTTCTTAAATAAAATATCTTGACATGAGTCGATAGAATTTAAAAGAAAAGAGTGTTTTATTGTACAATAAACCACACCAACACGTCGTTTATTTCTTAAATACAATATCTTAACATCAGTCGATAATATTTAAAAGTTAAAGACACGAGGATGGGATTCTATTTATCATCGAAAATCACTCTTGCAACTCTTCAGTTTGGACAGTTAACCAGCTTCAGTGGCAAAGAGATTAGTGATGTCATGGGTCATTTGATTGTGACGTGGTAGCCGATGACGTCACAATGGTGCGCAAAGCATTGTGATGCAATTTCATTGTCTCTTGTTCTCTATCTCCCCGAAGCAAGGGTGTTAAACTGAGTCTACAAGATCGCTACGCGATAAATTGCAAAGTACAATGAGGTGAGGTGAAATGGGGTTTAACGTCGCTTCCAAGATTATTGCACTTATATAGCGACGTGCATGTACGTGTGTGTGTTTGTGTGGCTGCTAGTACTTGTCCGGACTGATGCCGATTTATGTGCTAGCTCACTGAGATACCATGCCGCAGTTTAACATGAATACCCCACTCAGACACAGTATACTGACTCCGAGCCGACCAGTCCTTGTTTTAGCCCCTTACTGCCGAGCGACAGACAGGGTAACAACAAGTACCATCTTTTAACGTCTTTTGGTTGACGCGGCCGGGGATCGAACCCCGGACCCTCCACTCTCCGGGCGGACGCTCTACCACTAGACCACGGAGGCAGTCCAAAGTACAATGAAGAAAGAAGCTCGGCATATTTTACATAAAACATTGTTCTATCGTGACGTCATTTCTGGGGATTCGAATCTGCTCTCGAAATTCCAGCCTAGTTCGGCACGGGAGGAAACTGGACTTTTATTGTCAGTTAACACCCTTGCCTCAATTTTACTGTGAAAGCCAGGCATGTTTTTTAGATGTATCAATATTCATGCGCATTCAGATTTGCAACCAGTTTTAGTTTTGATATGTTTAACGAAACAATATTGTTTATTTTTATATTTCAATACGTATTTAAACAAAATAAGACACTCATTCTCGTTAGATACCATGTTTATGAACATCGCCTTTGCTCGGACTTTGCTGAGCCCAATCATTTGGTGAAACAGGCATCTAACTCGGAAGAACTTCACCAATGTTATATAGTCCTGAGTGAATATGGAAATAACTGGTCCTTATTTGATTATAAGGTAAAAACATGATGTATAGCTTGAAGTACATGTCATTAAAAGACAGAAACAGACAGGTGTTAGGTTTACGTAACTTATACATACCTGGCGTTGGTGCAACATCGGGTATTGAGTGTTCTGAAGTGTAACATATGAAATGTAAATGAAACGCAATATCATTTATGTTATTAATGTATACGTGGTTTTGTAGGGATCCATGATTCTAAATATTATTGTACACTCGAATTGATATTATTTCCCAATGACATTAGGAAGGAAGCATATCATGGAGTAGAAAGTAAAGAGCACAATTTAATTGTATCCTATTCTACCATGTCATTTTAAAATCCTGCATTCAGATTGTAGTGATATCACTTTGCATTATGCTTACAGTATATCTGCCCCCGCGATTGTGTAGATTTAAGTGGTTGAAGTACATGTATTATGGGGAAAACACGGGGAGCACATGAGGCAAACATATGTTGGTAAAAACGGTCTTCGCTGATGCCTGAAAACCCTTTCAACCTCTCGAACACGTTAGGCCCAACCGATGCCACATAACTAATCATTTCTGCTGTAACCAAAGTGTGCACTTTGTGTTGATATTGTGCCATGAACTATGCATGTTATTAAATTTAGGTGTTCCGAACTAAATTCCATGCCTGTATATTTTTCCGATTCGTATCGTTTTCAATTTCGAACAGAATTAACAACTAAATAAACTACAAAATCGCCGTTATGATATGGTATGATCAGCGAGAGTATTGTTCAACGTCGCCCTTAGCCATATTACAGCTATATGACGGCGAGTGACGCCAGAAATGGGCTTCACACATTCTACCCTCGTGGGGAAGGGAAATCGGGTCCGTGCCGAGTGAACCTCTGAACCGTGGAAATACAAGACATAGGTGTGATTGAATTTACCTTCGCTACAGTTGTGTTCTGCCATTTCTTTCAGACTATCTGTCCGCATTCTGAAAAGCAGCAGCTTTATGTGTGATGTGTGATTCTTTCCCCATGATTTGCCAATGAGAAGAGAGTGTGTCATGGTTGTTTGAGGGGCATCAGTTTTCGGCAAGGGGGAATTCTGCAGTGCTCTGCCATTTAGGTGCACTGATGTCTCTTCATTTGTCTTGTCCCACGATGCGTCCAACGTGTACCAGGTACCATTTGTCATATTTACTGAGAAAATAGATTTTGACACAGATTTTCCATTCTTAACCCAAAAATTTAGTTTTCCATTCCAATAGAATAACGCAACTCCATTGGAGTTCACTAATTCCCCACCGCTAGATAAGATGTAATTAGGCTGAAGGTCAATTTTAATGAACTGGAAAGTCAATCTGAAGTTGAAATTTGTAAAACATGTGGTGAGATCATCTAGACATGGCACACCCGTGTTCTGCATATCAATGTATTGTCCTGGCCCATCCAAAACTAACAATGTTCCTAGCTTTGACTGCTCAATACTGGCATCTCCATGGACCTTCATTGTGGTCAGTGACGTTAGGAGGTCTGTGCCATTGATGCTCGTGAACGTGATGTCAGTGGATGAGGAGTTGCAAGACGATGGTTCTGGCTTGGCGGTCGTTGCACGTGATATGATTGGTGTTGTAGATGGATCCTTGTTCTCTAGGAACATAATGAACAGATAATCGTTTGAACTGTTCATCCTAACAGGCTAAATAAATAATTCAATGTGAATTACAGTAAACTACGGTTAAAACGAAAATGGAACGTCAATGATATGTGATCATGTTTCACATGTTAATATCACACGTTAACTAAATGTTCATTAACTTATGTCTACAGTCGTCAAACAAAGTAGGGGATACTTGGAAATTAAAACTAAACTAATTCTCCAAAACTAATAAGAAATATATGTTTCAAGTAATAGTTGTATGATAAAAATAATGAACGAATTGGGAACACTTTACAACCGGTAGTGAAGTATGACAGTTGATATTATGACCGACAACTAGCTTGAAAGATGACAAGGGGTAAGATGGGAAATTTCAAAGGAGACTTTTTGAAACAGTAGTGCGTAATACAGCTACGATTTGTCAAACATTAATTCCCTCGACGAGGCACACTGCGAATGAGTTTGCAAATGGCGATTTGTGGGATTCTGACCCTCTCCTCTTGCAGCGCCTGGCCAAGTTCAGCCAACATGGTTGTCGGTCTATGACGTTGACGGACACGTCCACCTATCATGTCCCAGACGTGCTCAAAGGGGTAAACGTCTGGGCTCATTGCTAGCCATGATATTCTATGGATGTTGTGCTGCTGGGGTGAGCACGGGCCTTGTCGTCCTGAAGACAAAACGTCGACCCACAAACGGGACATCAAAGGGTGTCAGTATGTTGTCCCGATAGTACTTTCTAGATATCTTTAAATCATATTTTGATATCAATAATCGAATTTAAGATATCAGCAATTCTTTTCAAGATATCAGTAATACGCCTCACCATATCATTAATTCATTTCGTGATATCTTATATTTTATTGCAGATATCTACAATTATCTGCATCAAAGATATCTTCAATTCGATTCAAGATATCTTCAATTCAATTCAAGATATCTTTAAAACAATTCAAGATATCTATAATTCCGTAATAAATGTGAAAACGGCTTGTCATAGAAGTGCAAAGTGAATCGGGTCTCATCTTAAAACATGACACGTGACCGGTGACGACAACCCCAGATTCAAGTTTGTGTACACTCTTGGCTTCTGTTGGCAATATGACGATTTGTAAGGAGCGGCACAACACGTGTCACTCGAGCGTACAAACTATAGTGTATGTTTTTGGTGTAAGGTTTTGCAGACGTCAACTTTCTGCATAGAATGATTGTCGTCAACACTAATCTTAGTTCTTAGTTTTGGTATTAATATATTCATTACATGATTCTTAACTTTTTAAGGATATATATAAAAACTTCTTCACTGGATATTTCAATAGAACGTTTAGGTTATTCAACTGGTTAACTCTTTACAATTCCATCGGTTTGTATCAGAATGAGTCTGTGGTCGTTACAGTTAGAATGATTTGTTAAGCGGAATGTAAGAACATATATAAAAGAGGAACTGCTGAGGTTTTCAGTCATCAAGGCATTGGAATTACAACATGTCTCTCTCGTCTACGTGAACCAAACAATAGATAATGGTCATTAATTAATGTGTAGGTGACTACCACATATGTTAACTGCATTAGCCGTGGGATTTGTTTGTAGCAATATCAGTTTTGTTTGTTTGTTGTTTAACAATATTCCAGCTATATGAAGGCGGTTAGCAAATAATCGAATCTGGATCAGACAAGCCAGTAATTGACATCCTGAACATCGATCCAACGCAGTTGGGATATGATGACATGCATCAACCAAGTCAGCGAGCCTGACCACCCGACCCCGTTAGTCGCCTCTTTCGAGAAGCATAAGTTGCTGAAGACCTCTTGTAACTCGGATCGTCTAACTCGGGTCAGCAATATCAGTGACTGAAATGAATACGTAAACGATAAATACCTAGAAGTCCAGCTCTGGTCAGATCTTGGCGGACGTTGAAGAAGATATGGATCTGTTTCATCCAATATGTAAATGTTTCAACTTTAAGCATAGTCGTGTACCCATTACCAATCCATAGGTGATGCTTGGCGAAATTGTGCGGCTTGACAACTGCAGCAACAGTTCCCCCGATGTCGGCCCCATCCACATAAAGATGTAAACCGTGGAACTTGCTCCAAGACAGATCTATCTGGTACCAGGTCTCAAGTATTAGGTGATGCGCTACGCCGATTGTCCACATGCCTTTTGATGTCCCCACTGTGCAGATGAAACTATTGTTTGTGTACCGCATGAAAACACCACTGTCACCGTCCCCAGTAGCCAAGATGGGCATCTCATTGCTTACATTGCGGAAATTGATGTAAAAGCTGTATGTGAACCCTGAGTTACACTGGTCGAGGTGCTGGATACAGGGATCTGTCTGGGGAATCTCCACATAGCCGTGACTGCTGAACACCAGGTATGTCTCTGTCTGGTACGTCTTAACTTCTACCATGTTGTGAATTGTCATATTTAGATGTGTTGTTGTAATAATGTTCCCAATCTGTTCAATCACCCTGTAGTTGTAGTTAGCAATTTCTGATTCTGCAAAATAAAAGAAATATAATGACAATAAATTATTGATGGCTAAAGCTTGTGATGCATGTTTCTAAATAATGAGATAAGAGAATTGTTCTTGCTTTCATTGGATAATGAAAACATTCTCTGTAATTACCAACAATTTGTTCATCTATCTTTGTTTTCATTACTCGACGAATTAACGTCTTTAGTCGCAAGAACTGTGAGATCTTTTTTGTCAACACATTGACTCGGAAAACCTAAATGGAAAACGCTGGTAATAACATCCGTGAAACACGTGTTACATTCGTCCTAAAGTGGGGTATTCGAAATATGCAAAATACAAATAATTAAATAAACGTACAGAAGATATTTGATAAAATGAATTTGAAGGTATAACTTCACAGTTTGACTTTGCACTGGGCGTATTCAGGAATACGACAATCAATAGTTGAAACTAGGACCCATTTAGTTATTGCAGACTGGCGCATATCACATACATGCAGTATGTTCTATATATAGATTCATATGTGAAAAAAACAAACAATGCGAGGCACCAGCTTTACAATAAAATAATTTTCACAAAATGTTTAATCAACACAGGCAAATGTGCAACAATAAGAACAACATTCGTTTCAAATTCCCTGTTTGACATCATTTCTCGGACTGACACCCTTACATACTGATTTGGATAAAGATGGTCTCTCCACTGTAAATGAGCGCATTTGCCTATGCAGACCGCAACCAGGTGACGCCGCATTCGGCTTGTGTGTGATGAACCACTGTGTCTCTCACATTATTGCAGACCACCTCCGTGGTCTAGTGGTAGAGCGTCCGCCCGAAGAGCGGAAGGTCCGGGGTTCGATCCCCGACCGCGTCATACCAAAAGACGTTAAAAGATGGTACTTGTTGTTACCCTGTCTGGCGCTCGGCATTAAGGGGCTAAAACAAGGACTGGTCGGCTCGGAGTCAGTATACTGTGTCTGAGTGGGGTATTCATGTTAAACTGCGGCATGGTATCTCAGTGAGCTAGCGCTATAAATCGGCATCATTCCTGACTAGTGCAAGCAGCCACACAAACACACACACGTACATGCACGTCGCTATATAAGTGCAATAATCTTGGAAGCGACGTTAAACCCCTATTTCACCTCACCTCACCTCACATCATTGCAGTAAAACGTCCAACAATATCATGCATTTTGTGTTTAAATAAATATATGACTGAACAACTTACACATCATATCAGGAATTTTGAGTAGATGAAATTGGCAAGTAATCATAGATTTTTCAGAAGTTATTACAAATAGACCCAAACTGTATGAAGGGCGCTACTGCCAACTGACTTGCCGTAATGGCAGCGGCATGTAACGCGAGTTCACACATCACCAGGCAGCCATATAATTCACTTCTGTGTACGTTGTTGCTCAGTCAAAGGTATCACAAGAACTACTTACAATTGTAGCAGATATAGCAAAGAATAGAATTTGGTTACACTTTTAACTATGTTAGGATGTCGAAAATAACGATCATCATCAAAGTTTAAACTTGTTGAAACTTGTGTGCGTGTCATGATATTTACACTTCATGTCATATCTGAAGTTTTTCACAATCACAATTATTGAAAGTTTTTAACGGATTGACTGTTATCATTTTCTCGTTCATGCAGTTTTGAATCACTGAATCACAAAGATGAGGAACCGTAAATGATAACATTTAAGACCTCAACACTGTTGTTGATATTGAGGATGTACACGTCTACACTTGTGTCCAGACACGAGGTGTATCACAACGTACTGACTCAAGACATCAGTAGCATACTTACTTGTTAACTGACATCGAATTCCGTAGTAATTGTCTTTACATTTGCATACGTCTTCGCCGATGCAGGAGCCTCCGTTTTGGCAAAAATCTGGTTGACACAAAACTGAAAAACATGAAAGACATTCATCAACCAGTGTCTTAATTCACATGAAAATTATCTAGACGTTCATTAAATATTAACATAACGAGTGTGGTCTAGCATACAAAGGGGGGATATTAATGAAGACATACGGCAGCATAGAGTAATGATGTACTTAAGTCACTTCTATGATAGGAATTGTCCAGACACCTTCTGGGTTGCAGCCGATTAGCTCCAGACGCATACAGGGTCTGCCCACGAAGTGGGTGATGATGAGGTGGACAGTGTCAGTCACCACAGCGGGATGCAACTTCACGGAATATGCGACGGTGGCATTATGTGTTACAGGAATGTGCTGAAAGCAAACACGTACATAATCTCAGAATTGTTGCGCATGACATTGTTCTTTATGTTTTTAAATAGAGATGTCCTTGTCACGCGAAGAGCCGGTAACATCAGCAACAAAACAGTACAAGGGAGACAACTCTTTCCTGCTTTGTTTGGCAACCCTTTCCTGTTCGAAATGAGTTTGTATATGGCATTTTATGTCGCTTCAGACTGTTTCTTCCTAAAGCGTCCGCCTACCATCATTTTAGCACCCGGCTTTTCACAATTATTTTTCCATTTAACACACAATCACGAAAACGGTTATTATCGAATAATATACACTAACCTAATAAAAAATATCAGTTTTGTACTATTTAATGTCCGAACAAAAATATATTCAGACAATTTAACGTCTCATGTGTCATGAATTACATCATATGTGTCAAATATGCTTGCTTGCATGAAATGCCATGAACAGTGGTGATTGTTACTCACCTACGTGTACAGCTAGTTTCTGCTACATCTCACTCATGAAATGCCCTGAACAGTGGTGATTGTAGCTCACCTACGTGTACAGCTAGTTTCTGCTACATCTCACTCATGAAATGCCCTGAACAGTGGTGATTGTAGCTCACCTAGGTGTACAGCTAGTTTCTGCTACATCTCACACAGGAAATGCCCTGAACAGTGGTGATTGTAGCTCACCTACGTGTACAGCTAGTTTCTGCTACATCTCACTCATGAAATGCCATGAACAGTGGTGATTGTAGCTCACCTACGTGTACAGCTAGTTTCTGCTACATCTCACACAGGAAATGCCCTGAACAGTGGTGATTGTAGCTCACCTACGTGTACAGCTAGTTTCTGCTACATCTCACTCATGAAATGCCCTGAACAGTGGTGATTGTAGCTCACCTACGTGTACAGCTAGTTTCTGCTACATCTCACTCATGAAATGCCCTGAACAGTGGTGATTGTTACTCACCTACGTGTACAGCTAGTTTCTGCTACATCTCACACAGGAAATGCCCTGAACAGTGGTGATTGTAGCTCACCTACGTGTACAGCTAGTTTCTGCTACATCTCACTCATGAAATGCCCTGAACAGTGGTGATTGTATCTCACCTACGTGTACAGCTAGTTTCTGCTACATCTCACTCATGAAATGCCCTGAACAGTGGTGATTGTAGCTCACCTACGTGTACAGCTAGTTTCTGCTACATCTCACTCATGAAATGCCCTGAACAGTGGTGATTGTTACTCACCTACGTGTACAGCTAGTTTCTGCTACATCTCACACAGGAAATGCCCTGAACAGTGGTGATTGTAGCTCACCTACGTGTACAGCTAGTTTCTGCTACATCTCACTCATGAAATGCCCTGAACAGTGGCGAGTGTAGCTCACCTAGGTGTACAGCTAGTTTCTGCTACATCTCACACAGGAAATGCCCTGAACAGTGGTGATTGTAGCTCACCTACGTGTACAGCTAGTTTCTGCTACATCTCACTCATGAAATGCCCTGAACAGTGGTGATTGTTACTCACCTACGTGTACAGCTAGTTTCTGCTACATCTCACACAGGAAATGCCCTGAACAGTGGTGATTGTAGCTCACCTACGTGTACAGCTAGTTTCTGCTACATCTCACACAGGAAAAGACCTGAACAGTGGTGATTGTATCTCACCTACGTGTACAGCTAGTTTCTGCTACATCTCACACAGGAAATGCCCTGAACAGTGGTGATTGTAGCTCACCTACGTGTACAGCTAGTTTCTGCTACATCTCACTCATGAAATGCCCTGAACAGTGGCGAGTGTAGCTCACCTAGGTGTACAGCTAGTTTCTGCTACATCTCACACAGGAAATGCCCTGAACAGTGGTGATTGTAGCTCACCTACGTGTACAGCTAGTTTCTGCTACATCTCACTCATGAAATGCCCTGAACAGTGGTGATTGTAGCTCACCTACGTGTACAGCTAGTTTCTGCTACATCTCACACAGGAAATGCCCTGAACAGTGGTGATTGTAGCTCACCTAGGTGTACAACTAGTTTCTGCTACATCTCACACAGGAAATGCCCTGAACAGTGGTGATTGTAGCTCACCTGAGTATGGGTAAACACTGCTACATCGAACACAAATTCACGCCCTGAACAGTGGAGAGTTTAACAGACCTGACTGTACAGCTCCAGACGTGATGTATCTGTGAAGAGGTTATTGTAGAGCATCTGTACATCTCTCACATAACGTGACGGGGTTACGGTCCTGTTCCTTTCGGCGGGATGTTGGAACACTATCTTAGATATCGCCATCGGGGTCTTTAGCTTCACCTAAGGGGGGAATCAAAGAGCCAGGATCTGACTTGTATGTGTTCGTCTCAAGAGCTGTAAATAACGTGTGTATGGAGAGCAGTTGTTGGATGCAGGTGGTTGGTATAGGTATGTTACTATTAAGCTTGTAGAAGGGACATGTTACATAATGCCATTATCCGTGTTCGTCCTTTGTTTCACAGCTTCTGTTACAGGATGTCCACATATTCATGTATCATCGACGTTGTCAATTTGCTCGGATACTGGACAATGCAGTAACTCTTTGTCCAAAATGTGACTAAGGTGTGTGACTAATGCTGTGAAGATGTTGTTAACAGTTACCTGAACCCAGGGATGAGTATCTGTGTCCGCGCTGCACCAGGCGCCGATGTGTTCCTCTGACAACAGACAGTGTTCATGCATGGACACAGATACTATAGTACTCTTACATCTTGTCAGGCATCACTATCACAGCTTTACAAAGGATATTTACTACGAAAACAAATTGGTGGACAGTTATAAGGTGGGCTACTTATCTGTGAGGGGGGGGGGGCGCACACACACACATATATATACGCACAGAGAGACAGAGAGAGAGAGAGATTGGTACCTGTGCAACAGCCATATCTAAGTTGTTCCTTGCTGTGGTGTGGGGAGCTAGTGGACACAGTCAACTGGGCATCAGCTATTGTTTTGTCCGACATTCCAAGCGGTGTTTCACAAACTGTAGGAAGAGATGTCAATTTTGGAACCAGCAGGTGGTGTTGCGTTCATGTAAGTGAGCGAGTGAGGTTGTTCCCGATTCAAGTTGTATTGTAGTAGTTTATCACGGAGAAACTGTTAAACCAGGGGTTGGCTTGTTGGCTTTAATCAATGGCTAACTCACTGCCACTTAAACGTAGAAGATACATAACAATACAGAACCGTCCGTCTGTAGCGACTAACCAACATACCAGTTTGTGTGGGTGTTGAGGGAGTCGTGACTGTGGCTGTGCCTGGTGCTGTAGCTGCTGGAAGGGGTCCTGGAACACGTATGCGCTTTTAAGCTTTATAAGAAAGTTATGTTTCATATTTCATTTTGAATAAATTGCATGATGATAGACCAGAGAAAACGTTGAATATGTGGCTGGTTATTTTACGTTCGGCGTAGTTCCGGTCTATTGCCAGCGCATGTATTTGGATGCTTTGTTTTGCGTGCCCCAGGATTTCGGAATGTTAACACTAATGGCCCAGCTTTTGCAAATGCAGTAAAATTTCTTTTCATAATTAGAAGTATCAAGTATCTTTACTATTCGCATACCTCGGAATTCCAAGTAAATGACCAGCTTTGAACAGTAGTATAGCTATATCACAGACTTTACTGAAACCAGCCTTGATAACCAAAATGCCATAATCAGTTATTCGAACCAACAATGCATAACAGTACATCAATTTAACACCTACACGAACATTCATGCACCTAACCCAAACACACTTCTACAATTGTAATCTTAATTTTGTCGGGGGCAAAGTATCTATCAAAGATAAGAGGACAGTCAGAATGATCGCAGTATTTAAAACGTTTACAAATCGAAAGGAACAAACCATTTGTGATTTGGGCCCTTATGAGCTCGCTTTTGACAAGAGGTACCAGTTGTAGTTGATAGATTCTCATGATGACGCCTGTGTTCAGCGTGGACCCAATACTCAGCGCCTCTGTCGGAAAATTACCAGGTTGTCTTTCAACTGACTGGGTAATGCTGCCGATGGTCTTGCTGTTGAGTAGGAGTCGAAGCCCTAGAATTCTGTTCCAGGAGATCTCAATCGTGTACCAGACACTGAGTGAAAGAGAAGTCTTCACGTCGATCCCCCAGACGTGCGATGAGGTGGCCACGTGACATGACAAGGTCGCCCCTTCATAGTACAGCCATATTCCATTATGAGAAGTTTCATCTACTCCATTAGAAATCAGGTATAGCTTCCGTGATGTCATATTTTCAATGTTCAGTGTCAGACTGTTGGGGATAAATGCAGAACATTTCCATCATTGAACACTTGAACTGATGTAACGTAAGAAAATTAATGTTTTATAATCATCTGGTGAGGCGTTATTGCTAGGTTTCTTCCTATCGGTAGATGACACACGTGTCCTGCTCCTTACCTGTAGGTGAAACCAGAAAGACAGGTGTCGAGACTATGTAGGCATGAAGACGGCTGGCCTGACCCTGCTGCGACCGTGGCTGTTCCTCCCTTGCCCAGACGGATGAGGCTCTGTGTCCCCAGAGTCTCCACCGCCACGCTGCCCGATACACTCATGTTGAAAGACGTGGTTAGCAGAATGTTATTTTCAATCCTCAAGAATATGAACTTGGTTATAAATGTGTGTATCTCAATCTCTGAAACAAGCATGAATCAAATTACAGTACGTATAACCACGAGGTCGTCTATACATGTCGTGTTTGTTTGTTTATTTGTTTGTTTAACGCCGCACACAGCAATATTTTGACGGCGCTTTGTTAATAAACAAGCCTGGACCAGACAATATAATGACTGACATCGTGAGCTCGATCTATGCAATTGGGATACGATGACATGCATCAACAAAGTCAGCTAACCTAACCACTTACGACTGTCGCCCCTTACGACAAGCATAGTCGCTTCAGATTCCGGCAAGCATGTGTTGCTGAAGACCTATTCTCTACCCGGATCTTCACGGGTACTATTCAGGTCGGTATACAGTCACACTGTACCTGTGTATTGGCACTGTTCCCCGAAGTACGCTCCTTTACACTGACAGAGGTTATCACCTACACATGTTCCTCCGTGTTTGCAAAAGTCCTTCTGGCAAAGACCTAAAAACGAAAACCTCTTTGTAAAACAACACTGAGAAGAGTTTGATATTCAAAGAACAGATCTTGAGATTTCATTTGTTGGAATCAACCGTTCAGCCTAATGAACTATGTGAGGTGAGGGGAAATTGGGTTTAACGTCGCGTCCAAGATTATTGTACTTCTATAGCGACGTGCATGTACGTGTGTGTGTTTGTGTGGCTGCTTGTACTAGTCCGCACTGATGCCGATTTATAGTGCTAGCTTACTGAGATACCATGACGCAGTTTAACATGAATACCTCACTCAGACACAGTATACTGACTCCGAGCCGACCAGTCCTTGTTTTAGCCCCTTAATGACGAGCGCCAGACAGGGTAACAACAAGTACCATCTTTAAACGTCTTTTGGTATGACGCGGCCGGGGATCGAACCCCGGACCTTCCGCTCTCCGGGCGGACGCTCTACCACTACACCACGGAGGCGGTCGTTAATGAACTATGTATATGAACACAATATGCTATATATTTTAGGTATACAAGATATATCCAAATGATATAAGCACTCACCTGTTGGTTCGCATCCAAGTATTTCAAATTTAAAACAAGGTGTTTTTTCATATGTCTGAGGTTCGATCCTGATGGCTTTTGTGACAATATGTGGCTTGAATCCCACCCAAAATGTTAGTGAATTGTTGTAAATCGACTGTATGTCCTAAAACAAATACATATATTATTTGATTATATGTGGCAGTTGCAACCCCGAGAAATACGTATGTATTATACCTTTACATTTCATACTCTTGTGTTTAGTCATAGATGGAGTTCTGTTAATGTCAGTTCGCGTTTGATTGGCGCAAGACTACCACTGTGAAGGTATAGCATGCGAGAACCATGAATCACATGTCCAAAACAATTCATGGTTCTAGTAAAACGATTTAGAAAAGAAATATATTAGATCACGCCATAAGTATTTTTTTGTTTTAATTTTGTCATAGTTTATAGTTATAATGTGAGTTTAACGAGGCTTGAGTAAGACACGAATGTGTGACGGGTGAGTGACGAGGCTTGAATTTGACGCAGATGTGTGACGGATGTGTGACGAGGCTTGAATTAGTCACAGGTGTGTGACGGGTGCGTGATCAGGCTTAAATTAGACACAGGTGTGTGACGGGTGAGTGACGAGGCTTGAATAAGACACAGATGTGTGACGTGTGATTGGCGAGTCTTGAATTAGACACAGGTGTGTGACGGGTGAGTGACGAGGCATGAATTAGACACAGATGTATGACGGGTAAGTGACGAGGCTTGAATGAACACGGATGTGTGACGGGTGAGTGACGAGGCTAGGCTTAAATTAGACACAGGTGTGTGACGGGTGTGCTGAGACTTGAACTTGAGATGCGTGTGTGTCGGGTGTGTGATGAGTCTTTAATTAGATATGCGTGTATGACGGATGAGACAGGTGTGTGACGGGTGAGTGACGAAGCTTGAATTAGACACAGTTGTGTGACGGGTGAGTGACGAGGCTAGGCTTAAATTAGACACAGGTGTGTGACGGATGTGATGAGACTTGAACTTGACATGCGTGTGTGTCGGGTGTGTGATGAGTCTTTAATTAGACATGCGTGTATGACGGATGAGGCAGGTGTGTGACGGGTGAGTGACGAGGCTTGAATAAGACACAGATGTGTGACGGGTGATTGGCGAGTCTTGAATTAGACACAGGTGTGTGAGGGGTGAGTGACGAGGCATGAATTAGACACAGATGTATGACGGGTAAGTGACGAGGCTTGAATGAACACGGATGTGTGACGGGTGAGTGACGAGGCTAGGCTTAAATTAGACACAGGTGTGTGACGGGTGTGCTGAGACTTGAACTTGAGATGCGTGTGTGTCGGGTGTGTGATGAGTCTTTAATTAGACATGCGTGTATGACGGATGAGACAGGTGTGTGACGGGTGAGTGACGAAGCTTGAATTAGACATAGTTGTGTGACGGGTGAGTGACGAGGCTAGGCTTAAATTAGACACAGGTGTGTGACGGATGTGATGAGACTTGAACTTGACATGCGTGTGTGTCGGGTGTGTGATGAGTCTTTAATTAGACATGCGTGTATGACGGATGAGGCAGGTGTGTGACGGGTGAGTGACGAAGCTTGAATTAGATACAGTTGTGTGACGGGTGAGTGACGAGACTTGAATTAGACACAGGAGTGTGACGGGTGAGTGACGAAGCTTGAATTAGATACAGGAGTGTGACGGGTGAGTGACGAGGCTTGAATTAGACACAGGTGTGTGACGGGTGAGTGACGAGGCTTGAACTTGACATACGTGTGTGGCGGGTGTGTGATGAATCTTTAATGAACACGGGTGCGTGACAAGTGAGTGGCGAGGCTTTAACTTGACATGCGTTTGTGACGGGTGTCTGATGAGGTTTGAACTTGACATGCGTGTGTGACGGGTGATTGACGAGGCTTGAATAAGACACAGGTGTGTGATGGGTGATTGGTGAGTCTTGAATTAGACACAGCTGTGTGACGGGTGAGTGACGAGGCTTCAATTAGACACAGGTGTGTGAGGGGTGAGTGACGAGGCATGAATTAGACACAGGTGTATGACGGGTAAGTGACGAGGCTTGAATGAACGCGGATGTGTGACGGGTGAATGACGAGGCTAGGCTTTAATTAGACACAGGTGTGTGACGGATGTGATGAGACTTGAACTTGACATGCGTGTGTGTCGGGTGTGTGATGAGTCTTTAATTAGACATGCGTGTATGACGGATGAGACAGGTGTGTGACGGGTGAGTGACGAAGCTTGAATTAGACACAGGTGTGTGAGGGGTGAGTGACGAGACTTGAATTAGACACAGTTGTGTGAGGGGTGAGTGACATGTCTTGGATTAGACACAGGTGTGTGAGGGGTGATTGACGAGTCTTGAATTTGACTCAGATATGTGACGGGTGAGTGACGAGACTTGAATTAGACACAGGTGTGTGGCAGTTGTGTGATAAGGCTTCAATTAGATACAGGTGTGTGACAGGTGATTGGCGAGTCTTGAATAAGACACAGGAGTGTGACGGGTGAGTGACGAGGCTTGAATTAGACACAGGCTTGTGAGGGGTGAGTGACGTGTCTTGAATGAACAAGGATGTATGTCGGGTGTGTGACGAGTCTTGGATTAGACATGCATGTGTGACGGGTGAGTGACGAGGCTTGAATGAACACGGATGTGTGACGGGTGATTGACGAGGATTGACTTAGACACAGGTGTGTGACGGGTGTGTGACGAGGCTTGAATGAACACGGATTTGTGACAGGTGACTGACGAGGCTTTAACTTGACATGCGTTTGTGACAAGTGTCTGATGAGTCTTGAATTAGACACAGTTGTGTGACTGGTGAGTGACGAGGCTTGAATTAGACACAGGTGTGTGACGGAAGATTGGCGAGTCTTGAGGTAGACACAGGTGTGTGACGGGTGAGCGACGAGGCTTGAATTAGACACAGGTGTGTGAGGGGTGAGTGACGAGTCTTGAATTTGACACAGATGTGTGACGGGTGAGTGACGAGGCTTGAATTAGACACGGGTGTGTGCCGGGTGAGTGACGAGGCTTGAATGAACAAGGATGTGTGTCCGGTGTGTGATGAGTCTTGAATTAGACATGCGTGTGTGACGGGTAAGTGACGAGGCTTGAATTAGACACAGGTGTGTGAGGGTGATTGGCGAGTCTTGAATTAGACACAGATGTGTGAGGGGTGATTGACAAGTCATGAATTTTACTCAGATATGTGAAGGGTGAGTGACGAGGCTTGAATTAGACACAGGTGTGTGAGGGGTGAGTGACGTTTCTTGAATGAACAAGGATGTGTGGCGGTTGAGTGACGAGGCTTGAATTAGACACAGGTGTGTGGCGGTTGGGTGACGAGGCTTAAATTAGACACAGGTGTGTGACGGGTATGTGATCAGGCTTGAATTTGATGCAGATGTGTGACGGATGTGTGACGAGGTTTGAATTAGACACAGGTGTGTGACGGGTGCGTAATTAGGCTTAAATTAGACACAGGTGAGTGACGGTCGCATGATCAGGCTTGAGTTAGACACAGATGTGTGACGGGTGCGTGATCAGGCTTAAATAAGACACAGGTGTGTGACGGGTGAGTGACGAGGCTTGAATTAGACACAGGTGTGTGAGGGGTGATTGACGAGTCTTGAATTTGACACAGATGTGTGATGGGTGATTGACAAGTCTTGAATTTGACTCAAATGTGTGACGGGTGAGTGACGAGGCTTGAGTTAGACACAGATGTGTGACGGGTGCGTGATCAGGCTTGAGTTAGACACAGATGTGTGACGGTTGCGTGATCAGGCTTAAATTAGACACAGGTGTGTGACGGGTGAGTGACGAGGCTTAAATTAGACACAGGTGTGTGACGGGTGCGTGATCAGGCTTGAGTAAGACACGTGCGCGTGACGGGTGCGTGATCAGGCTTGAATTAGACACAGGTGTGTGACGGATGTGTGACGAGGCTTGCATTAGACACAGGTGTGTGACGGGTGATTGGCGAGTCTTGAATTTGACACAGATGTATGACGGGTAAGTGACAAAGCATGAATAAGACACAGATGTATGACGGGTAAGTGACGAGGCTTGAATGAACACGGATGTGTGACGGGTGAGTGACGAGGCTAGGCTTAAATTAGACACAGGTTTGTGACGGGTGTGATGAGACTTGAACTTGACATGCGTGTGTGTCGGGTGTGTGATGAGTCTTTAATTAGACATTTGTGCTTGACGGATGAAACAGGAGTGAGACGGGTGAGTAACGAGGCTTGAATTAGACACAGGTGTGTGAGGGATGTGTGACGAGACTTGAATTAAACACAGGTGTGTGACGGGTGAGTGACGAGGCTTGAACTTGACATACGTGTGTGGCAGGTGTCTGATGAGGTTTGAACTTCACATACGTGTGTGGCGGTGTGTGATGAGTCTTGAATGAACACGGGCGCGTGACAAGTGAGTGACGAGGCTTTAACTTGACATGCATTTGTGACGGGTGTCTGATGAGGTTTGAACTTGGCAATCGTGTGTGACGGTGATTGACGAGGCTTGAATTAGACACAGGTGTGTGATGGGTGACTGGCGAGTCTTGAATTGGACACAGGTGTGTGACGGGAGAGTGACGGGGCTTGAATTAGACACAGGTGTGTGAGGGGTGAGTGACGTGTCTTGAATGAACAAGGTTGTGTGGCGGTTGAGTGACGAGGCTTGAATTAGACACAGGTGTGTGGCGGTTGAGTGACGAGGCTTAAATTAGACACAGGTGTGTGACGGGTGTGTGATGAGTCTTTAATTAGACACAGGTGTGTGACGGGTGAATGACGAGGCTTGAATGAACACGGATGTGCAACGGCTGAGTGACGAGGCTTGACTTGGACAGAGATGTGTGACGGATGTGTAACGCGACTCGCATTATACACAGGTGTGTGATAGGTGTCTGATGAGGCTTGTATGAGACATGGGTGTGCGACGGGTAAGGACGATCATTGAATTAGACACAGGTGTGTGACAAGGCTAAATTAGACATGGGGGCGCCTTTACTTTGAACCGCTGAGCCCAGGGCACTTGCTGTGAACTGTGTCCGCACTCTGGTTCCACCACAGACGTTCCTCGAACATTGTATTTCATCACGACTTGGTGTTTATGTTTCGCAATTGGTCAGTTTGTTAACGTTCTAGAAGAAACTGCAAACTAAGGTTTTAGTATTCCACGTAAAATGGTGGGTTCTTTATCAGACAATCGTCTCTTGTATACTGAGTCAAATTAAAAACTTCACATTTTTAAAAGTAATCCGATACATGATATACAACGGACAAATGTATCAGAGAAGGTAATTTTTAATCAATAATGTCCAAAGAAGGATTTTAATTAACGGTGGTAACCATAATTTGTTCCAAGCACCTACGGTATTCGGTAATAACATCAACAGTTTAAATCATAAGTCCCAAGCACGAGAACCTGATGGCAGACAAGTTCAGTAGCGTGTATGGCCACCATGTGCGTTGACAACTGCCACACAACGCCTCCGCATGGACCTTGTGATGGTTGTGAACACATGATTGGGAAGACGACGCCATTGTTGCTGCAAAATGGTGCAAAGATCTTGCAAATTCTGTGGTTAGTTCTGGAGAATGCGCAGACTTCTGCCAAGAGCATCCCAGGCGTGTTCGATTGGATTGAGGTCGGGAGACCTTGACGGCCAGTCCATGACGTTGACTCCCGCATTCTGAAGGAAATTCCTTGTCAAAATTGCTGTGTGGGGTCTGGCATTGTCGTGTTGGAAGATCAAACCGGGTCCATGTGCTGCCATAAAAGGCAGAAGTTCTGGTGCCAGTACCTGGTCGCGGTAAGCAGCAGCGTTGAGGTTGCCACGGATGACAAGAAGCCTGGAACGTGCATTGCCACAGAAAGCACCCCACACCATGACACTTCCGCCTCGAAATCTGTCAACTTCCTGTACACAACACTGGGCGTAACGTTCATGACGGCGCCTCCACACCCTCGCCCTACCATCAGCAAATCGAAGATTAAATCGGGATTCATCACTGAAGACGACTTGATTCCAATTCCTCTGAGTCCATCGTAAGTGTCGCTGTGCCCACAATTGACGTTGACGTCTGTGTAATTGAGTCAGAATCGGCCCGCAGTATGGCCGTCGTGCTTGAAGGTGGGCAGTTCTCAGACGGTTTCGAACAGTTCGCGCACTCAGTCTACCCCTAAACAGGTCATTTCAGGTCGTAATCAGTTACGGAGGTGACGTAAGACAATCTGACGACACTCTACATGTAACGTCACACGTGGTCGACCTGGCCGAGGGCGATCAGCGGTGGTACCCGTTTGCTGTAGACGCGTCTATAAATTATAAACAGTCCGTCGACTACAACCCATCGTCCTTGCGACTTTAGCTACGGACGTTCCCGTCTGCAACATGCCGATGGCACGTTCACGTTGCACATTTGAAAGGCGTGGCATGACAAATGGCCGTAAAGACTTTTGTTTTCTTGTGTTTTTGTGTTAATGACTGCCAACAAGTATGGCTGAAAACACGTGCGGTATTATGGCCACGTGACCCGTTGCACGTGAAAAACCACTTTTGCCACTATAGTGCTGTGCACATGATTTTGATCGATTCACCTGCACAAAAACGGGTGTTATCTGAAGACAATACGTGGCCATTACTGTTTAAATACACAATAAGGGCCCACAATGATAACTGGTCAAAGTTTTTAATTTGGTTCAGTATATTTAGAGATCATATTGTGCAATGTGCTAATAACATCTACTGGAACGTAGTGTCTTTCGGTATTAAACTAATAATAGATGTTTAACTTACGTGATTAAATTCCAGGAATTCATCTGAGCCAATGGCGGGTTTGTAAAGCAGTCGAAACGTCTTCATATATTCCGTTGCAAAATCGGAACATGGGGGTGTTGCTGATGTAGGATGTTGGAACTTAATTGAAGCAATAGTGGTCAGGTTTTGCAGATGCACCTCGAAGTACGGACTGTTGTCATCTGCGGTTGGACACCAGGCAGCACCGCAGTCAGCTGTAGTTACAAGTTGCCGTCACACATCAAACCATTTGATTACTTCTCTTTCAATTCTAAAAATAGTCGAACCTCGTTATCGGAAACATCAATAACCGACTTTCAATACAGTTATATCCGGGCGTTTTGGGATAACTGAAAACAAGATAATCAGTCATCGACTAGAACACAGTAGTATCTGGTAGAAAAGTCTGGACCAACTGACGCCTGGGAGTTACGGATGGATCCCGGGTACCCGTATTGGGGACAACGCTGTTCGGCTGTAGCAGTAACAAGCACACGAAAAGCTCAAATATTCCATACGAACATGGGGCGATTGGATTGTCTTGTGGTGTAAGCAAAACCGGGACAGCAGTTAAAGCTGGAAGTATATTGCTAAAACGGCTTAAAATCATAATCGTCCACGCTTATGAACATCCATGGTGTAGGAGTTGTCTGTCACATCTAGAACTATATACAGGAACACTCACTCTGACAGCAGCCACATCTAGAACTATATACAGGAACACTCACTCTGACAGCAGTCACATCTAGAACTATATACAGGAACACTCACTCTGACAGCAGCCACATGTAGAACTATATACAGGAACACTCACTCGGACAGCAGCCATATCGAGCATGTTGTTTGGGTTTCCCAGCGGCTGCAGACGACACGACCAGTGCCGTGTCTGGAATACGCTCACTATGCATCCCTTGTGGGACGTCGCACTCTGTTGAAGTAAAATACTAGGAAATAGAATTTCCTACAACATTTAACAAGAAGGAAAGACCATACAAAACCTATCCATGAATGCAAACAACGAAGCAGTACGTGTTCTATTTTACAAATTGCAAAATGGCTTTCATGCGTAATCCGTTGAAGGCTCAACCATTCTAACAACAGCAAATAAACAACATTTGAGTGAGATGAAACACACAGAGTTGCTTAAAATTCACTATGTAACTACTGGTTTATGTCGTCTGTGTGATATTTCAATATGATAATACATCCAGTATACTGTTTTATTTAACTCAGAAATCGATGCATACCTTCTATTTACTTTTGAAAGATATATCGCTTTCTAACGTGACTGTGCGATGATAATATTGTAATTTATTTCACGGCAAATACTATCTGTATAAATTGTCTCGCGTACCAGACCCGCCCGTTATTATATATTACACTCAACTGTCACCAATAACACTCTGATCGATTCTGTGATGTACAAGTACCTGCTTGTGAAAGAGACAGGTAGGGCAAAACAGGCATATGGAGCAAACCCGTATCAATATTAAATGCAATTTCTTCACGTCTAATCTGACCAAACAATCACTAACAGTGAGCTGAAGATCCTGAAAGGGTACAAAGCCTTATCTTACGTGCCTGTGTACTCGGGAATGATTTACAGTGAACGAATACCACTTGGGCTAGGCGTTGGCCAACTTGTGAGCCCTTATCGGAATACAAAGAGTTAAAAAACCGTGATAGTAAGCCTTTTCACTTTTGATAGATGTAAGGTCCCAATAAAGTTGTTTGAAGTGACTGTGACGTAGTTATTTCAGAACTTGCAAGACTAAGATGCATCAGCGGTAATTTAGTAACAAAGCTTTATATTATGGAATACATTTTTTTCGCGGCTTCCACATATATATTGATCATGATTGTGTGATTGTTTATGTTGTAGGAATTTACACATTCAAGTCAGTGGGTAAATGTATATTGTTTATCGTCGCAGTCACCAATGTTAAACACCATTTCGCTTCACCTCACATTTCTCTATGGCACAGCTGAGGTGAGGTGTATTGGGGCTTAACGTCGCGTTCAGGGTTATTGCACTTAACTTATATGGCGATGTACATGCATGTGTGTTTTAACCCCCCCTCAGACACAATATACTGACCGACCAGTAGATGACCAGTCCCTGTTTAACCCCCTTAATGCCGAGCGCCAGGCCGAGTAACACAACGTGCCGTATTATTACGTCATATAACGTCCGGGATCTATGGTGTTATTCATATTTCGACAGACACACAGACCAATTCCTGTGACTCTTGTGAGAATACGTTCTTTGCCACCTCTTGTTGTGCGACGTCAGTCTCCCATGCCGCTACAGTCTTCATGTCATAGGAATAAACGACACCCTATCATTGGGCTGTCACACTCGTGATGCCACCATAATGCAATGCTCGTCGCAAGAACAGAATAACGGGGATACCCCTGTGACCATGCTTTTAATCCTTGTTTTGCCAGCCCTAGACAGGTCGTTGACTATTTATTTCTAAAATGTTGCTGACTGCGACGACAAACAATATATACTTACCCACTCACTTGACTATTTTGCGATTATTGCGCTTATATATCGACGAGTATGCATGTGTGTGTGCGTGCGTGCGTGCGTGCGTGCGTGCGTGCGTGCGTGCGTGCGTGTGTGTGTGTGTGTGTGTGTGTGTGTGCGTGCGTGTGTGTGTGTGTCTGTATGTTTTGCAGGGTATGTAGTCTCTCACGTCAGGGAATTGGTCAATGTCTCTGTGGTATACAACTAACAACACAGAGAGAGGTTTACAAGCTATGTTGTCTCTCACGTCAGTGAATTGCCCTGTGTCTGCGGTATACCATTGACACAACACAGACAAAGTTGCCAGGTATGTTGTCTCTCACGTCAGTGAATTGGCCTGTGTCTCTGTGGAATACCATTGACACCACATAGAGAGTTCCAAGGTATGTTCTGTTTTAACGTCAGTGAATTGGCCTATATCTCTGTGGAATACCATTGACACATCACAGAGAGAGTTGTTGATATGTTGTCTCTGACACGTCAGTGAATTGGCCTGTGATTATGTGGTATACCGCTGACAACACACAAAGAGTTGCAAGGTATGTTGTCTCTTACGTCACTGAATTGGCCTATGTCTCTGTGGTATACCATTCACACCATACAGAGAGACTTGCAGGATATGTTCTCTCACGTCAGTGAATTGGCCTGTGTCTCAGTTGTATACAATTGACACCACACAGAGAGAGAGAGAGAGAGTTGCAAGATATGTTGTCTCTCACGTCAGTGAATCGGCCTGTGTCTCTGTGGTATACCATTGACACCAAAGAGCGAGAGAGTTGCAAGGTATGCTGTCTCTCACTTTATTGAAATGGACCATGTCCTGTGGTATACCATTGACACAACACAGACAGAGTTGCAAGGTATGTTGTCTGTCACGTCAGTGAATTGGCTTGTGTCTCTGTGGTTGACCATTGACACCACACATTGAGGGATGCAAGGTTTGTTTATCTCACGTCAGTTAATTGGCCTGTGTCTCTGTGGTATACAATTGACACCACAGAGATAGTTGCAAGGTATGTTGTCCCTTACTTCAGTGAATTCGCCTGTGTCTCTGTGGTATACCACTGACACCACCGAGAAAGTTGCAAGGTATGTTGTCTCCCACGTCAGTGAATTAGCCTATCTCTCTGTGGTATACAATTGACACCACGGAGATAGTTGCAAGGTATATTGTCCCTTACTTCAGTGAATTCGCCTGTGTCTCTGTGGTATACCATTGACACCACACAGACAGAGTTGCAAGGTATGTTGTCTGTCACGTCAGTGAATTGGCTTGTGTCTCTGTGGTTGACCATTGACAACACACAGAGCTAGTTGCAAGGTATGTTGTCTCTCACGTCATTGAAATGGACCATGTCTCTGTGGTATACAATTGACACCACACAGACAGAGTTGCAAGATATGTTGTCTCTCACGTCATTGAAATGGACCATGTCTCTGTGGTATACAATTGACACCACACAGACAGAGTTGCAAGGTATGTTGTCTCTTACGTCAGTGAATTGGCCTGTGTCTGTGGTATAGCAAACTAGGGATGTGATCCGTGTCCAGGCAGTGGCGGTCTACAGGAAACTATGGACGTGATCCGTGTCCAGACAGTGACAGTCTAGAGCAAACAACGGGCACGATCCGTGTCCAGACAGTGACAGTCTACACCCAACTATAGACTTGATCCGTGTCCAGACAGTGACAGTCTACAGCAAACAACGGGCACGATCCGTGTCCAGACAGTGACAGCCTACAGCAAACTATGAACTTGATCCGTGTCCAGGCAGTGGCAGTCTACAGCAATCAACGGCCACGATCCGTGTCCAGACAGTGACAGCCTACAGAAAACTATAGACTTGATCCGTGTCTAGGCAGAGACCGTCTACAGCAAACTATGGACTTGATCCGTATCTAGACAGTGACGGTCTACAGCAAACTATGGACGTGATCCGTGTCCAGACAGTGACAGTCTACAGCAAACCATGAATATGATCCGTGTCCAAACAGTGACAGTCTACCGGAAACAACGGGCACGATCCGTATCTAGACAGTGACAGTCTACAGCAAACTATGGACTTGATCCGTGTCCAGACAGTGACTGTCTACAGCAAACTATGGACTTGATCCGTGTCCAGACAGTGACAGTCTACAGGAAACAACGGGTACGATCCGTGTCCAGACAGTGACAGTCTACAGCAAACCATGGATATGATCCGTGTCCAGACAGTGACAGTCTAGAGCAATAAACGGGCACGATCCGTGTCCAGACAGTGACTGTCTACAGCAAACTATGGACTTGATCCGTGTCCAGACAGTGACAGTCTACAGGAAACAACGGGTACGATCCGTATCCAGACAGTGACAGTCTACAGCAAACCATGGATATGATCCGTGTCCAGACAGTGACAGTCTAGAGCAATAAACGGGCACGATCCGTGTCCAGACAGTGACAGTCTAGAGAAAACAACGGGCACGATCCGTATCCAGACAGTGACAGTTTACAGCAAACTAAGGACGTGATCCGTGTCCAGACGGTGACAGTCTACAGGAAATTGTGGACTTGATCCGTGTCCAGACAGTGACAGTCTAGAGAAAACAACGGGCACGATCCGTATCCAGACAGTGACAGTTTACAGCAAACTAAGGACGTGATCCGTGTCCAGACGGTGACAGTCTACAGGAAATTGTGGACTTGATCCGTGTCCAGACAGTGACAGTCTAGAGCAAACAACGGGCACGATCCGTGTCCAGACAGTGACAGTCTAGAGCAAACAACGGGCACGATCCGTGTCCAGACAGTGACAGTCTAGAGCAAACCATGGACTTGATCCGTGTCCAGACAGTGACAGTCTACAGCAAACCATGGACTTGATCCGTGTCCAGACAGTGACAGTCTTCAGCAAACTATGGACTTGATCTGTGTCTTCACAGTGACTGTCTACAGCAAACTATGGACTTGATCCGTGTCTAGACAGTGACTGTCTACAGCAAACTATGGATGTGATTCGTGTCCAGACAGTGACAGTCTACAGCAAACTATCGACGTGATCCGTGTCCAGACTGTGACAGTCTACAGCAAACCATGCATTTGATCCTTGTCTAGACAGTGACAGTCTACAGAAAGCTATGTACTCGACAGTTTCCAGCAAACTAAGGACTTGATCCTTGTCTAGACAGTGACAGTCTACAGAAAGCTATGTACTCGACAGTTTACAGCAAACTACGGGCATGATCCGTGTCCAGACAGTGACAGTCTACAGAAAGCTATGTACTCGACAGTCAACAGCAAACTACGGGCATGATCCGTGTCCAGAGAGTGTCAGTTTCCAGCAAACTAAGGACTTGATTCTTGTCTAGACAGTGACAGTCTACAGAAAACTATGTACTCGACAGTTTCCAGCAAACTT